AGAGAGAGAGAGAGAGAGAGAGAGAGTGAGAGAGAGAGAGAGAGAGAGAGAGAGATAGAGAGAGTGAGAGAGAGCTTCGCACTGCAGTAACTATACAGACTCTATCTATGCGAACCAAAGTTCTGCTTCCTTTTTACCTCTTTAACGCCCGACTGCAACGTTCTTACTTGTTTTGACATATTTATTATTCAATTCCAAGCAATATTTAGCTTCATACTTAAAGATATTAAAGTCTGCACTCGATTTTGAAGAACTAAACAAAAGTCTTGGTTTTTACAAATTTAAGTGAATTTTATAGTTTTACTTTATTTTGTATCCCCTTATCATACAATCAGCTAATTGGATTATACTGTAAATATTCTGCATGCAAATCAGCAAAGCTTCTAAAAAATAGCGTGCAAAACTCGCTTCATTGTGTTAAGAGTAATGTCGGCTCTCGAGGGATTAAACGTAAGCACCTTCATTATCGTCGCAATGCACCACCTGAGGGTATGAATAGAATCATTCGCATTGATTGACAAATTCAATTTCTGTGCAGTTGGTTAAGTGGATTGTGGCTACGTTGGCGGTTTTCTATTTTTGTTATAATACAACCCACACCACCGCCAGCACCACCCGTTGTCAACTTGCTGCAGTGAAAGCGCGCTGCTCGATTGCATTCAGTGCCGATTTCAATTAAGCATATGAAAGAGGCGCTCGGCCACACAATGTGGCACCCGGCAACAATTGAGTGGGCATGGCCGCAGAGCTGCCCATTGGCTGCTATCATGTCGGGTCAGTCATTGTCAGTGGGTCGGCAAAGTAAGAAGAAGAAGGTGAAGAGAAGAGGCAACTGGGCGCCAGAGCGTTTTCAATATGCGTTTTTGTGCCTCATATTAAGTGTGCTTGCGTGTGTGTGTGTGTGTGTATGTGTGGCATGTATTGTGCTCTTGTTGAGGCATGTGAATGGCTCTCTGCCTGGCAGCGGTTGCACATGCTTTTGGCCAAGCTGTTGCCATATTTGGTTTGTTAATCTGCCTTTTGCCGCTGAAGCAGCAGCTGCCGATTTTCATTAAAGGCAGCGAGGCAAGTGAAGCTTTGCTTTCTTTGGCATTTGGCTTTTCTTTTTGCAGTTTGTCTGTGTGCATAGCACACACACACACACACACACACACACTCACACACAAGCAAACTTCTCGGCAACGTGTTAGCCCAGCCCCCGATCAAACATTCTAAATGGCTCACAGCTGACTTGGAGACCAAAGCAAAGCATGGCAAAGCAAAGGAAATGGCGAAATCCTGCCACGCCCAGCAACAATGCAAGTCAATCTCAATGGCTTTCAACTCTTTGCCAGGCACTTTGATGCGGAACAGTGCCAGGATACACAAGCCAGCCCGAAGTGCCAAAACAAATATGTAGTCAATAGCAGTGTCTAAGCCTGAACTCAGACTACAAACTAAGCTCAGGCACCATAAAAAATAAAGAAGAATAAAAAAACAAAAACAAAGAAAAGTAAGCCAGCTGTTGCACTCAAGTCTGGGTGACTTAAGAGACCCTTCCATTTATTAAAGAGTTCAGTTTTAACGACTGTGCAGCTCGAGAGTATTTTAAATTTGCCCTTCCTTGTAGTTAATATCATCCGTAGTGATATCACGTTGCTGAATCTCTCCGAATTCAATCGGTATTGATCACCATTTAGAGCCCATTTCTTCAGCGCCTCCCAGGAGGACTTTTCTGTCAAGGAAAATTCGAATAATGCTTGAGTAAATGATGCATTGCCAAATAGAGCTTACCGCCGGAAATCAGCTGGAAGTTGAGCAACAGCACGAAAATCAAAGTAAACAAAGAACTCTTAGTTCTCATATTTTGAAGTTGAAAGAAACGCTACACGCTGTGATTTATTCACCTATACTGGAGCTATGCGAACATTTTTAATAAATGTAACGAATTCATTTAGTATTAGCTAAATTACACTCTGTAAAAATAGAGGCAGAAAATAAAATGAAGAACAGAAAGGAAGAGCAAAGAATCATGCCAATTAGCTGTGAGTTATGTGAGATATAAAGAATTCCACATTATTTTAATATATAAATAGAACATTTAATCCATTTTAAGCTGAATAAATGTTTTTTATTTATTTTATATATACGCTTGCACGCATTGGTAAACAGCTCAATTAGCTAGCTCGCTTGCTCTCGGGCTGTGTTAATTCTAAAAACCAAGATACACACACACTAACACACACACACACATACATACACACACGCTGCAAAGTTTTGTTGACTTTGTATATGGGTCCTTTCGGCCATGTAAGATTCTTGTTTGCTTATGACACAAATTGCATTTGTGGATGACAACAAAAGCTTTGGTCATGCCAACAAGATGATTAAATTACTCATACGCCCCATGAGCCGTGCGCGCGCACACACACAAACACACACTGCAGACGCCAGATGCCATGGCCAAAGTTTACTGGGAGTTATTATTATTGTTTTAGTTTTTGTTGCCGCCCGGCATTTACTTAATTAAGTTTTACTGCAGCAGCAACAGCTCGACATGGCCATTTAATTAGTTTTTAATTATATATACATTCTTTTCGTTTTTTATTTTTGTTTTTGTTTTTTATTTAGCAGTGAACGCTCAGCTCTAAGCGCCGAACGCTTTACAAACTGGACACCAGAGTTGGGTATTTGCTTCGAGTTCATTTAATTTTATTTGTATTTGGTAGAAACGCCCACGCCACCGTAAACTAAGCAAGCCCCCAGCGTGAAGCGTTCCTCATTTAGCACATTATTTTTACAGGCTTTGTGTTGAGCAAAGTTTTTGCTTAATAGGCCAGTCGCAGCTTGGGCTGGGTAAATGAGTTTTGTTTAAAATTAATAAAATTTAAGCATGCTATTTAGCGAATGCCGCAAACTTCGTCAGACAATGCCAGCCAAAAGTATGCAGCCAAGCATTTTAATTGAATTTTTCAACAGGCCAACAGCCCAACAGCAACAGCAACAACATCATCATCATCATCAGGCGAGGCGCTAATTGAAATAGCCAAGCAAATATTGCAGTTTTCTGCATGTTTAAACGGCAGTCGAGTAGAAGAACCAGCAGAAATGGTCGGCGGCAGCTGCTCTGTAAAAATATTTACACACTACGCTGTTCCATAAAACACCGCAAAACAATAAAATTCGCAATAAACCAAATGGAAAACACCGCCAGAAATGCAAATGAGGAATTGCTGCTGGCTCATGTGAAATGCACACAATGCAAAAAGGCATCACACACACATACACACACACACACACAAGTCAAACAACAATAAGAACAAAGCAACAAAAGCAATAAAGCAACATTTTAGGAAAAAAATTGCACTGTTATGTAGGTATGTGTATACCCCTCAAGCATTATACCCTGTATAAGTATTGAGGGTAAATTTTAAGTGCTCCATTTAAAGTTTAGCAAACGACTTTCATTTATCAATCGTTTATCTAGTGCTAAATTAAATTTGTTGTACTTGAAAAAAATATATGTAATTACTGTTTTTGTCATATTATTAAATTTTCATATTTTTGTATTTTTTTTTTTTATTTTTTATTTTCTGTTGATCGCTTACTGTTATATTTTTTTTTAGTTTTATGTTAAGCACTCCTCAAAAATATTTATTATATTTTTATTATCTTATTTTTGCTTTTAATATGTATAAAATTTAATTTTTAAATATTTATATTGTATTTTTTTTATAAATTGTTTTATCTATCAAATTTCAGGTCCTAGCCAGTGCTGCCAGCTGTATCGACGTTAGCCTTCGTTCCCCATTCGCTTCGCTTCGCTTTGCCCTGCGCAACTCAGTCTTGAACAAAGCAAAACGAAAAGTGGATCGAAAGGCAACACTTTTTCATAACTTAAATTGCAAAAGGCTAAAATGCGACTGACTGGAAAATCAACACAAAAGCCAGCACAACAATGAATAGCAACAGCAGCAACAACAACAAAACATCAACAATAATAACAACAAGAGGCAACTGGAGTCAACTTTGATTTCCTGTGAGCAAACACAATGATACTTTTCAATTAACACTACTGCTTTGAGGCACTGTTGTAAATGTAATACCACGGCAGAGCCTCAAGTAAAACGCCGTTTTATCAAAACGAAGCATAACTAAAGCCATATAATTAGCAGCGTATGCAGCTGGCCCATATATATTTACATATATATATATATATATATATTGAGCTGTACTTAGATATCGGCAAACAGTTAGAAGGGCAAATGGCCATGCATCGCATTTTGTTGCCAACATTTTTACTGCTGGTGCTATGGTCCTATCAACAGCAGGCCACAGCAGGCTACTCTAATAATAGCTTATATATAAATATACCATATAAATATATATGAATTGAATCTTATTTATAGATTGCGGCAGCCAAATCAGTTCCGCATCGTCATGTCCAGCGACGAAGAAGCACCTGCCCAAGGTTCTGGAGCCAAATGATGAGCTCAATCAGTTCGACGAGTTGGTGAGAAGTAGAAGCTTGACGAACATAATCTGGACAGTTCTTAAACTTATATTTTTACGAATTTTCAAATCAATCTTTATGTGAATGTAATTCATAAACGTATCTAATCAGAGTTCATTTGAAGGTTATAGACAATGATCGGATTTTCTCTCTGATTTTGTATGTTGCCCGAATTTCTGTTAGCTTTCGTGCTGTTTTGCTTGTTTAAGAGATTTTCATTTACCTTTGAAGTGGGCTTCTGTCAGATAGCATTTGTATTGTTGTTGCCCGCATTTCCAGCTGTGCGCTTACTTATTGTCTCTCTCAGTGGCTCTCGGCTTAGGCAGGCAGAAGCATACATATACATATACATATGTACATATATATCTATATGCATTACTGGAATTCCTTGGGCTTTCATTTCAGATTTGGATTTGAATTTGGCTTTGGCATTTTGCAGGTGCAAATTTAAAGTCATAAAATGCAATTTGTTGCCGAGAAGTGCAGGAAGTTGTTAGTTGGCAACAACATGCTGTTGCAATTGAAGTGCTCGCAATTATCACATAGTGTTAAACAAAAACACAAGCAGCAACAACAGCAACAGCAACAACAACGAATGCCACTTGTGCGCCAAGCAGCAGCAACAAGGTGTCAACGAGAACAACAATTGCAGCAACAGCAGCTGGTGGCAAGTGTTGCACTTTTGAGCACCGACCTGCAAATGGAGTGTTTACAGCAAAAAAATGGGCAGCACTGGGAGCCCGGTGTAGTGGAACAAAGATTGCTATTGCTGAAGCGGCTTCCTCTGCGCATGAATAAATGTTAAAACACAATCGAGAGCCATAAATTCCGAGCAGTCATCAGGTAAAACAGGTGTGAAAAAGAGAGAAATGCAAAAAATAGAAAGAAAATAAATGAAATAGTAGCAAAAATGGAAAAGAAATAGCCCAAAGCGAACAATGCGAATGAGAACAATGGCCAGGCCCAAGGCCCAAGGCGATGGCGCCTCAGTCTAATTGGTATAATAAAATGTCATAAACCGAAAGAGCGACCAGTGGACCTGGCCAGTTAAGCCATGAAGGAAGCTGACAGGCTGAGGCTGGGGCAGCACAGAGCAAAGTGGGCAGGCGAAGGGGTGGGCCGATTGGTTTCAGGTCGGCTGACTACAAGTTTTGCAAAGACTTAAAGCTTCCGGCTTAGCGGCGATAGATAGACTGCTGTGCACTTGGAATAAGGCAGGAGTCGAGCCAGCAGTGGCCGGTGATATTGCTGCACAGGAGAGATATAGAAATGGCATTAAGGAAAATGAATGCAAAAATAATGAAATTACTTTTAATGAGGCAATGCAGAGGGAGCACAATAGATGAACTAACTTTGCAACTAACCTAAGTGGCAGGAAAACTCTTCAGCAAATAATGAGCTGATGCCTCGTCTGATAACAGCAATTCAAGTTGTTCATTTGTTTATTTTTTATATTTCTATTATTATATTTTTTATTGAAATTATATACATATAAACTCTCTTACAATCCTTTAGTTGTGACTGTAGTTTAACGTAAAGCTGTTCACTGCACTTACCCTAAGTTCTACAATATATTTTAATTATTTCAACCTTCATCACTTATTCGTCATGCCACCGAATCTATCCCATCTATCTCCTGCATCTATATATAGTGAAATTTATTATTATTATTTTCTTTTTTTTACAGTTCGTCTTGCACTATTTCTTCTATTTCCCGGCATTAGTTGTTGGTATTTCTCTGAGTGTAATTTATCAAGTCATTTTTTCTTTATACCATCCAAGTGAGCCAATTGTCAAGGATGCCATGCTGCCCGCTGCGCCCATATATCAACTGTCAATTCCTGTGCAATGCTTTGCCGTCACAATCAACGAAATTAGTTTCATTTCCAACAAATGGCAAGGCAGCAGAGACCACCCGAAAGCCAGCCAAGCCACAATCACAATCGACCCACATAGCATGGACTGCGCTTAAAGCTCAGCTGGCTAAGTTCCTTCTCCTTCTCTCTCCCTTTCTCTGCGACTGATTTTTTTTTTTACAATCTCTGACTGCTCCTCTTCTATTCAGTTTCCTCATACTTGGCATTCGCTGCTTTTGATGGCTGCTTTTGATCTTTCCCGTGCTCTGATAAATGATAAGGGGCCTGGACGGAACCGGCAGGAAACGCAACAAAAAATATAGAAAAAAATTCACCAAAGTGTAGAAAATTGCGCCTCAGCTGTGAGGCCCGCATCACCAAACAAGAGAAAGAGAGAGAGAGGGAAGGGGACAGGGAGAGAGAGATAAATAGTTTTCAGGTGAGATAAAAGTGCGACTCGAATTTATCGCCTGATTCTTAAATTCCCTAAATGGAATAGAAAATCGGCTGCATTCTGCAC